CCCCGCCCGGGGAACACCGCACCCATCCAGCGCCTCTTCCCTGAGAGCGGGGTGCCGGGCTCAGCCCTTCCAGCAGTTCAGCCTTGCCTGCTGGATCACGGTTTTTATTTAACAAAAGACACGTAAGGTTATTGTAATAAAAATCTTGTTATCGTACTGTTCTGCTTGTATTTCCTCTTAAAAGGAGGTAATTAAGGTTGTTTGGTTTTTTTTCTCGTTATACTGTATTAGCTCTTTGAGTCGAACGACCCTTCAACCATTTACCACTGAGCTGCTTTGCCCTGAGCATTTTATTGCCTTCAAGAGAATTGAGGATAAAGGATCTGGATGGAAATCCATGCTTGTCCTGGTTTTGCTTCCAAACTGAGAAGAACCTCCCGGGCTCCACTTGGCTGTTCTTGAAAGCAAACAATGAAGATTTTACTTCCCTCGAGGCATTACTTTGCTGCTTGACAGGGAAAAGTTCAGCTTTTTGGTAACATGGATTTCCTTATTTGGGATCCCTTGTCTTCACTACAGTCCATCACACATCCATGTGGTACTTTTAGTTCTGGTGAGAGACTCCAGATCTGACCTAAGCATCAATTCAACCAACTTGCTTTCTTGTATTAAGGGTCTTTTTCCATCACACTTTCCAAGAGCTCTGATTTGATATTTTAAAAATCCCAATGTCATACATTCTAGCAAGTCCTCCTTGAGGTTATTTTGGAATTAGAGTTTCTGTGTAGTCTCCTGACAATACAAATCCAATTTATTCTCTTGCTTTGATACATATTTATTTAAGATGTTTCATACTACTTAAACAAACTCTAATGCTGTAATCCTCACTATGGCAAAATAATACATAACAATAGAGGAAAGGTCTCCAGAGACAGGATGTTTACAAATATATCAAGTTTAAAGCAGCAATAGGACATCTATTTACAGTCTTGTTAAATCTACGTAATTTAATGATTAAAGCTTAGGACTTGCCCGAAGGTGGGCAAGCACGACTTCCAGCTTTACCAAAGGTCTGTTCTGTGATCTGTGCCAAGTCTTTTAACCTCATTAAATAAAGGTTAACTCTGCCACTTTTGAGATTAATCCATGATTAGCAGAGCAAGTTGTTACTGTATAAATAAGCTTTTGCTGGTTGCAAATTTTACCAAGATCACTTAATTACATTGGAAATTACATGTTTATCTAAAATGTGAAGAAGTAGAGTCTAGACAAACAATTTCCAAAAAATGGACTGACCACAGGAGAGAAGTAAACACCTCCAAAGTTCTCAGTGAGTGAACTAAGTGTAACTGCTGAGCTCAAACCACTTCCACATTACTTAAAACCAGTAGAGATTTTTAAAACAGGCCTGAGACAAAGAACTGACTGTGAATGTCTCCAGACTTCAGGAGAATTTAACACAGCTCCAGCTTTGCTGGTTTGGCCCCAGCTTTAGACTGGTCTCAGCTCACAGTCTCTGTTTTTATCACCCAGAATACTTGGGGTTCTCATCAAAACTCATAATTTATTCTGTGTCCCTCTTGCTCCTTGTAACCAGAGTCCTAACTCTGACATGCTTTGTTGCTTCAGGATATCCTACTCTTCATTTAGCTGAGTGCTGCTATCATTCATCAGTCTTTATATTGATTTCTGTTTTGCTTTAAGGTACAAACCACTATAGAATTAAACTTTCACAAAAATTTCTTCCTCTGGGAAAGTGCCAGTTAAACTCTTCTAAACATGGAGTGATCCAAGGGCTGATTTCCTTTCCTGGTAAATTACAAATCAATTTACTTGGTGGGGGGGGTTAGAGGCATGAGAGAATTGTGTCTTTTGGATGTGTGGACCCAATGGCCTGGCACATCAGAACTACAGAAATATGAAATTTGGGTGATACTGGTGCATGTTAATCCCATCAGGAGCAGAACCTGCTTACTGCTGGGGTGACAGGGGGATCACAGCAGTTGACCCCGTTGGAAGTTGAAGTGAGTTTGACTGGGAAGCAGTGGCAGAAACCTCCTATTGTGACTGGTCCAGAGGTCCCTTGGATTCTGAGCATAGATTTCCTCTGGAGTGGCTATTTCAAAGCACTTTAAATACTAGCTTGGGAGGATGACGATGTCTAAACAAGACTCACAATAAATCCAATATACAGGGCTGGAGTATTTTCTTCTTTGTCATTCCTGTGCAGACTCACTGGCTCAGTACATGAAGGTAAAAGTCAGCACATGTATTTAAAGCACAGTTCCTGCCTTAGAACCCGGCCAAATGAGAGAAAAATAAGTGCAAGGCTCTGCTGCTCTCCAGTGGAGCTGAATGCAATCTCCACTGTTACAATTCCATCTCTTCTCAAGCCTTCTGCCTTTTTTAAAGCACATTTTCATTTCTTTGCTTCTGGACTGCTGCTGGGCCACCAGGTTCCTCTGCTGTACATGTAATATTACCTAATAAAAAATATAGATTTCCCCAAGTCCAAGTTGTATGATAGAAGTTTTACCAGAGGAGGTTTAGAGTGGATACTAGGAAAAAGATCTTCACTGAAAGTGCTGTCAAGCCCTGGCAGAGGCTGCCCAGGGCAATGATGGAGTTACCCTCTCTTGAGGCATCTGAAAAATCTGCAGATGTGGTACTTGGGGATATTGTTTAGTACTTAGCAGTGCTGGGTTAATGGATAGACTTGATGGTCTTAAAGGGTTTTCCCAACTTAAAAAACCCCATTAATGGGGTTAATTATGTGAAACAACTTGGAAAATTTTCAATTGCAGTAAGTATTTTCAAGTTTACTGTAAATGTCTGTTACAGCTCCCATTGTTCCCATGAAAGAATGCATGATCCAGAATGGAACTGAATTTCCAAATCCATGATCCAGAATGGAATTCCCTGTTCCAAATCCTAGGAAAATCAATCTCTCTCAGCAAGTGTAAGATGCCTTCTAAGCTGTATTATTGTTAAGAAAACAGGATTTATGATATTATCTGGAGACCTTATTAGAAAGGAAAGGCCTTTTTGCTGCCAGATACCAGCAAACACAGAGCTGTGGGGTCCCAAAATGCAGGAGCTAAAATTCTAACTCCTTCAGTCATCCCTCAGTGAATCACTGGGTCTATTTATGCCTCCAAGGGTGTGATAAACAAATACCCTGGGAGCTGTCAGACCACATTGCCTCACATCTGCCATTCACAGAGGGAACCCCACAATCCAACCAGAGCTCCCCATCCTGGTTCCACGGTAAGGGACTAAAGGGACCAAACCTGCTGTCAGGGCCCCCCAGAGCCTCCACTAATGGCACCAGGGCTTTGATATTCACTCTAAACATTCACTTTGATATTCACTCTAAACATTCACTTTGATATACACTCTAAACATTCACTTTGATATTCAGTCTAGACCTGGGGTATCTAGGCCTGTGTCAGGAATAGTGTGGCCAGCAGCACCAGGGAAGTGACTGTCCGTCTCTTCTTGGCACTGCTGTGTTCAGTTTTGGGCCGTTTGCTTTAAAAAGGATATTGAGGGGCTGGAGTGTGTCCAGAGAAGAGGAACAAGGCTTGTAAAGGGTCTAGAAAATGTCTTATGGGGCTGGGTTTGTTTCGTCTCAAGAAGAGGAGGCTCAGTGCGACCTCACAGCTCTCTAGAACTGCTGACAGGAGCATGTAGTGAGGTGGGGATGGGGCTGCTCTGCTGTGCCTGCAGAGGGAAGACCAAAGAAAACAGTCTTAAGCTAAGGGAGATTCAGATTAAATATTAGAAAATTTTATTTTTACTGTTTGTGTGGTCAGGGGTTGGAAGGGGTGTGGTGGAATCACCACAGTGGTTAAGAGGCATACCCAGCACTGTGCAATGTGGTTTACTGGTTTAGGAGTTACAGTGGCAGTGCCAGGTGCATGGTCAGACTGGGTGACAGAACAGAATGAACTAGGTGGGACAAGACCTTTGAGACCATCCAGTCCAACCTGACCCAACACCACCTTGTCAGCCAGATTGTCAGCCAGTCTTTTCTTCAACACCTCCCTGTGGGACCCATTCTAATGCACAATCACTCATTCTGTGAAGAATTTCTTCCTAATGTCCAACCTGAACTGGCCTGGCACAGCTTAGGGCTGTGTCCTCGCTCCCTGGTTCAGAGCAGAGCCCGGCCTCAGCTGCTGCACCCTCCTGACAGGAGGAGCTGCAGAGAGGGATAAGATGTGCCCTGAGCCTTTTTCTCTCGGCTGAGCTGCCCACAGCTCCCTCAGCCGCTCCTCGCGGGAAGCGGGCTCCAAACCCTTCCCTAGCCTTGTTGCCCTTTTAAAGGTCTCTTCCAATCCCGACGATTCGGTGATTTGCCGGGATTGGGTGATTTGCCGGGATTGGGTGA